CATGGAAAAGCTGGAGTGTTTCAGAATACTTCCCAGTGGCAGATGAGGGCTACTGTCTAAAAAGTTCAAGTCCCTCTGTGTCTGAGTGTCAAACATTTCAAGGCCTAAGAAGTTAGAATTTCCTCTACGACTGTAGGACTGGGCAGAGGTGTCTGCAAGTAAGAAGTCAGTTTGGGTCTCTATGTCCAGCGACTCCAAGACTGGCTCAGTGGTTATGGGGCTAAGTTCACTCTTTTTAGTTTGAGTCTGGATGTTTGAGGCCGAAAAGAACTCTTCAATATCAAAATCAACTGCAGGATTCTGGGTTGGGCCAGATGGGAGCTGGGTGTATGGTCCATTACTTGTGTCAGACGAAGACTACAATTGTCCAGTGTCTGACCAGGCAGATTACTTGACGAGATGTTTTCCAGATCACTTAATAAATCCCCGGTTCAGGTCCGATTATCTGTCATGTTCTGTGAAGAAAGTGTACTATTCTGTGTGCTGAATGAAGTTCATGATTGGTTCAGATTTCTCAATATCTTGATTTAAAGTTTTAGGGTGGTTCTGAGGTAACAAACCATGAGTTACAGTCTCTGCTACTAAGCTGCTGCTTATAATTTGTCTGTAGAAACATCATATGATGAATGAACACTCTCAAAAATGTCTCCACACATTACAGCTTGGTCTATCTGTACTCGATCATCTGTTGGACTTTGCATTCCACTGCTCTGAGTTTCTCTCAAAAGAGATCCCACCTGACGGGAAACTGGGATCTATAAATACATCAGTCTGAGCAGCTAGAGATGAGATTACCTTAGAACTGGGCAAAAATTTTGAGTATGAACACTAATGGGAAGGGAAACTTGAGAACCAAATGTCAAATCAGTTTACGAACAAGGTGATACAGAGGAATCAGGGCTAGCCCACTGTGCAGACAGTAATAAGTGTTGTGTGGTGTAAGACAGGTCTGCCTGTGCATTGATTGAAGAAATGCTGTTTTCTTGACATGTGTTCCCTAGTTCTTGTAAAGAGTTAGATGGACTTTTACCCAATTCACTTGAACACCTGTGCTAATTGGCTCAACAGCAACGGGATTTACAATTTTTGAAAGACGGAGGCTCTCCTTGAGAGAGCAAGCCTCTGAATCTAGGCCGAGGATCAGGGTTCCTATGGACAAGGGCAGTAAGTGCACAGAACCGGGGGGACAGAGCCCTGATGATCGACACCCAACACTACAGGCTGGGCTGAGGAGTCTGCTGTAGGCGCAAAGACAGGCACTTCAGGCTTTGGTAAAAGCAACTTCTGAGGATACCTTGGACGTGTTGGAAGAGTCTGCTTTCTGGCATTAGAGCTGCAAGAGTCTTCAAAAGAAGCCATTAGCTTTATTTCTGAAGTTTCTAGCTCTTGAGCATCTGGTGTTGGGGTTGATTGGTTGCTCAGTGATTCACTGGTCTTACTGGACAACCTCTGGTTGTGCAGGCACTTTTCCATTTTCCTTTTCTTAATAGATGGATCCCTGTGTTCTGCAGGGATCGCACGGCCAGTTCGGTAGATGTGGGACTGTAAATGCAGTCCTTCTGGCATAGGGACAGCCACATGTGCACTGGAAGGTATTGCCACAATCCTCTGGATGTCTTTTCAAGTCCTACTCAGTGCCATACGAATTGCTGCACTTAACTATGTGCTGCTTTTCCGCATGCATTTTCATAAAGTGCTGTTTTCTGAGAGAAAATTGAGAACTTGGTCTGTCAGGGCCTCTCGGGCATCCTTCAATCGGACAACAGCAGAACCTCAGGACAGTTTTCAAATCTCTTCCTATTGTTGGATTCTCTATGCCATCCTGCTGGTGGTGGCTCTTGACCAGGTGCGTGTTGAGCACCGGGCTGTTGGGCAGGATCTTGCCGCCGCCGCACGCCAGGCACAGGCTGTTGGTCCACACGGCCCGGGACAGTTCGCTCACCCACGGAGGGATGAGCTCCCCGGCCAGCTGCCTCTCAGCGGCCTTGGGGGAAGGGGACCCCATGGGCCCGAGGCGGCGTCAGCTCCCCTCGCAGCCTGGGCACCCCAGGCCAGAGCCGCGGGCCCTATCGCCACCGTCTCAGAGGCCACCAGGTGCGCCATGTGTCTTGAAGCCCGAATTCACCTGGGTCTTTCACACCTGTTTCAGATACCCTGGTAGAAGAGTGACTATCTTTCATAGTAAACTGGTAAAGAGACTTCTGAATATAATCTAGTATACCCTGCTTGCACAAGGGAAAATGTGTTGATCATGCCTTATGTGAGAATTTCCACTCCATGTCACAGCAATATTTCTTACTACAAATGAATAAATTAGTATTCTGGTTCTATCCCAATTCATGTGCAATTTAGTTAGTATGAACTAATTTCTCAGAAACTGATCACCTCCCTAGGCACTGAGGAAAAAAAAAACAACAAAAAAAACCTCTCTAAGCTTTGAGGTAGGGGGCTAGATTTCTTCCAAGCCTTCCCTGAAATGAAACCTCTATCTCTTCCTGTTGCACATCTACTGATTAACATACCTCCAAGTAAAGCCTCGGGCAAGAGGTTCATTCTAGAGCTAAATCTTACGTAAAGCTCTACTTAGTCCAAGAAACAGACTTCTTAGTCTATGAAACAGATTATGAAACAGTTCATTTTTCTTTCTTTTCCTCTTTACAATCAGGAAGCTTACTATCAGCTGCAAAGGATCTTTCAGAAGTGGTTCTCTGTTAAAATTTGGGGCAGCCAACCTGAATGAATTAAACAACTTAAAATAACTCTAAATTATTATACCGTCTCAGAGGGCCTAGAATGCTTTCATAACTAATGCACTAGCTGCATGGTCTCCTTTCAGCACTGTAGCTGTTTGAGAACTATTCTTCCCAGACAGTGATTTCTTGTATACTCACAAGGCAAAGCTCTCTTATGTTCCAGTGAATCTTCTTCCTCTAGAGCCAACTTAATGTTGTGCTTTGCCTCTTACATCTAACTTGAAGGAAATTGTACAACATGCTCCACGTCAACATTACATGTGATGAACATAACTGTTTTATAACAAAAATTGAAGTTGTATATCTGTGAAAACTTTGCTACGTTATCATCTCAGCACTCCAGTCAAGAACCACTGTCTTGGGCTTCCCTGGTGGCGCAGTGGTTGAGAGTCTGCCTGCTAATGCTGGGGACATGGGTTTGAGCCCTGGTCTGGGAAGATCCCACATGCCGCGGAGCAACTAGGCCCGTGAGCCACAACTACTGAGCCTGCGCGTCTGGAGCCTGTGCTCCTCAACAAGAGAGGTCGCGATAGTCAGAGGCCCGCGCACCGCGATGAAGACTGGCCCCCGCTTGCCACAACTAGAGATAGCCCTCACACACAAACGAAGACCCAACACAGCCAAAAATAAATAAATAAATAAATTTATATATTAAAAAAAAAAGAACCACTGTCTTGTCTATTTGTTTTCAATTTTCCACATTCCAACTGACATAATTCCATTTTCTTTACTCCTTATGCTTTATTTTTATTCACATTTCACTATTTTATTGCAGGTATGGCTGACCTTCTTAAATTTTTTGTGTAATGAAACTAGATGTTCAAAAAAATAAATAAAATACAGAAAGTAAATACTTTCTCTTTAGTGCCTACTCTCTACTGCCCTCTGCAGGTAGAAAGAAAGAATAAGATCCTCACTTAACAGGAAGATTTAAAGTAATTGGTGTTTTTTGAGAGGCTAACCATTACCAACCAGACTCCATCTACTCACAGGAAGGATTTCTCAATTTGCTAACGTCCCTTCACTGTGGAAAAATTTCTGGGAATCACAGACTATTTTCAAGAGAGTTCCCTATCTCCTACACCCATATACAAACGGACATGAAGTCCTCTCTTATTCTGGGTGAAGGCTAAGGGCCCTCTATGTCAAAGTTCCTTCAAGCCTGTAAAACTTGAGTCTGGGAGTGAAAGAGAAAAGAGACATAAAGGTGCAGACAATGCAATTTGTCTGTGCTCTGCAGACAAATGTCAACAAATGTAGGAAGCCCTGCAGTCCCTCAATCAGAGATAATGTGAGATTTTGCTTTCTGTTTTTACAAAAAGTGAAAGGCAGCCTGCAAGATAACCAGCAAACAGGCAGCTTCAATTCTGTGTAGAAAGGACTGTTCATTACACATAGATTATTTTCTTCAGCTACACTACTTTATATGGATAGCAACACTGTCAGTGATGTCATCTTCTGAAACAGAGACCAGGATGTATAGGCATATTGTGCCAACCGAGCCCAAATCAATGACCTGGGTAATGCAGTCAGGGTAACACTATTATTCTTCATCTAAACCCTCCAAGCCCATAGAAAAATAATGCTAATCTGATGCAGGTTCAAGGAATACATTATGTGGGAAAGAAAATCAAGCCCTTGTTTAATTTCATTTACATTCTAATATGTACTTACAGGAAACACCACAGAATTCAGTATCATTATGTGCATCAGACTATGCCATTTTATTTTTGAATTAGTAGCATGTTTAAAAATTTATTAAAATCAAACACTTTCTTGGATAAGAATATTTTTAGCAAGGATATTCTCTAAAAGATTGATCTCCAAATATGTATTCACATAGCCTACCAACACCTTTCCACAACTGCGAGAACAGAATGATTTATAGCATTCTTGATAGAGGAGGCAGCGTTGTTTTATTATTTGGGGTAAGGAGATTTTTTTGAAAGATTTATAGCTTTCAGTTCCACCTCCGCTTGTTTTGTGATTCAATTGACTCATTCTATTTACCTATCTTCACAATGGGCATAATATGGACTTAGCAGATTTAAAATTTTTCAACGTCTGTAAACTTAAGCTTTCTGAGCTGAAAAATGTCTCTTTAAAAGGTATGCTGGGGGCTTCCGTGGTGGCGCAGTGGTTGAGAGTCCGCCTGCCGATGCGGGGGACACGGGCTCGTGCCCCGGTCCGCGAAGATCCCACATGCCCGTGAGCATGCGCGTCCGGAGCCTGCGCGTCCGGAGACTGCTCCGCAACGAGAGAGGCCACAACAGTGAGAGGTCCGCGTACCGCAAAAAAAAAAAAAGGTATGTTGGGAAGAGAACCACTGGGTCTTTTCACTCGCTTAAAAGCATACACTGAGCGCCTTCTACCGAATTGCATGTAGGTTGAGGTAAGGGTTAGTACATACAAGTCTTTTAAGACCGCACATCCGGGCCACCGATGAGCCAGTCAGAGGCCCCGCCCTTCTGGAGGCGGGGCCACGGGCGACCAGCACGTACCTCCGCTGCGTCGCGCCGCGTCCAATGCTTCCTGAGCGCCGGGGGCGGGCCTGTGCGGCGCGTGGCTAGAACCTGGGGAATATCCGCGCGGGCTTGAGCCATGGCTGAAAGTGGCCGGCCACCTCAGGCACGGGCCCTCCTGCAGCAGTGCCTGCACGCCCGGCTGCAAGTACGCCCCGCCGAAGGGGACGCCGCGGCCCAGTGGGTGGAGGTAACGTCGGCTCCGCAGCTCCGGTTATCCTGTGGCGCGCAGGGGCGGTTCTCACCGCACTGTCTAGGCGATTTGTGCCCTCGCGTCTCCCTCCGAGCCGGTCGCGTGGCGCGTGGCACGTGCTGTGGGCGGGGCGGGACTCCCGGCCGGTCCGCCCAACGCTGCCCTCAGTGCCTACCTGTGGTCGCCTCTCTCCTCAGTCCTGCACCACCGGCCCTGGCCCTTTCTCCCTCGGACTTATTTTCCGAGAGGAAGAGGGTGTCCCCTGCTTGGCACCCCGGGAATTGGGAGCTTCCCCTCACCGTTTGCCTACCTGAGCTCTGTGGACTTTAGACCTAGTAGCTCAGACCTCTTGCTTCAAAAGAGCAAAAAGCCTTGCCACGCCCTGCGCGATGCTCGGGCTGCTGGTGAGTTGTCCTGATCTGGTTCGAGCTTCTAGGTTAGATTTGTTGCAAGCGTTCAAGATCTGTTTTGACTTGTGCTCCGGATCCCGTCGAATTCCCTCTTAGGTTGACTGCAGCTAGGTGTTAGCACAGTCGTGAGATTGCCCATGAAGCAGTTCTTTTTTCAAGAAACTTTAAAAAACTTGACTTATTTCCCACCAGGAACAAAGATGACTACTTTTATAATAATGTTGCATTGTTATCGAACACATTTCCTCCAGAGAATTTAAAACATTTACACCAATATGATGTCCTTCTGCTTGAATATTTGCCTTTTTAAAAGAGCCTGCCCATATGCAAAATTCCATGCAAAAACAAAATTTTCTTTAAGGCCCCTGGCTTATTTTTTGGAGTAAGTTGAAATGAAGGGAAAAAAATGTGTAATAATAATAAATAAAACTGGTGGAGGTACTCAGAAACTTTAATGTAGGAGCATTTCATTCATTCATCTGCTGAATTCCGTCCCAAATCTAGCACTCCTTAACACAATCCTAGTTATTATTTTAAATACTACCCATGAACTATATGTGGGTGACTATTCTTAAATCACTATCTGTTACTCCCTTGTAATTTGGAAATATTTATAAGCATAAACAGTCCTATATTTTTGCCCTCCCTTTTTCTTTCTCAAAAATTCATTTATTTCTTTTGTTATGGTCTCTTAAAAATTTCTCTTCCCTATTTTGAGATTTTATTATTTTTGCCATACTGTCCAAAGAGTTGCCTATTTTTATACTTGCTTCATGGGACTATAAATCCCAAACTATTAATCATTTAGATTTCTTCCATGCTTCTTTATCCTTTTATATTCTTCATGTCACATCTCCTTGTGCAAAATCACAGATAGTTTATTGCAGCTTCCAAACTATCAGTGTGTTTATTAACTTTGAAAGCTATTTTAAAGCTTTCTCTTCCACTCCCACACATGGCTAAATTAGTATGAAGAGCTGACGAGTAATTAGAGAGTAAATTCTTTCCTCTTTCTCAAGCATCAGCTATTCTATTACTAAAAGTTCTAATTTAAAAAAAAAACATTTTTAATTGTTTTTAAGTTTACTTTTTGATTTGAAGGTTACTTTGCGTGTTCTTGGTTTCATTCATTTAGACCTTTGCTGTCACAGGCTAATGTTTTTCTTCCTGGAAGGTGAACATTTTTAACCTACAGTGAGAATTATGTGTACTTTCCTATATATTTGAAATGTTCTAGTTATACCAAAAGAAGCTACAAGGAAGGTGATTCTGACTTGAGGAGGGGAATTTGTAGATCACAATTTAAGAGCTATTTTTGGAATAAACTAAAAGAAAATACCTTAATGAAGAGGTAGTGTGGTGAGTAGAAGGAAAGAACTAGTGTTTTTTTGTTTGTTTGTTTGTTTTTGGCCAAGCCATGCTGCATGTGGGATCTTAGTTCCCTGACCAGGGATCTAACCCCTGCAATGGAAGGGTGGAGTCTTAACCACTGGGCCACCAGAGAAGTCCCAACAGGTGTCCGTTCCTGCAATTACTTAATTCTGACATTGCATGTGTCCAAATATGAGTATGCTTGAGAAATTTTGGCCTGTGCTGAAACAATCCCAGTGTAGAGAGCTGTAACAGTGGTGCAGATATCTGTGTTATTCAACCTGCCACCTCCTTACTTATGGGTGTGCCCTGGAGGCACTTGTTTGTTCAAGAGCACAATTACACTTATAAAAGGTTACTTCTTATCCAGGTAAATCAGGTGTGAGTGCAGAGCTGCATTTATGTTTATTTACAAGAGTATTTAGATAACACATAGAGCCTGTAATATACAGTAGAACTTAAATGCAATCAACAGAGTTCCTATCATGTACAAAACAGTCTGTAAAGTGCTTTGGGAGTTAAGGTGTAAAATAAATTGTGTTTCAGTCCTTAAATTTCTTTTTACATAGTCACTTAATACGCACTTGTATCGCTCTTACTATGAACCAGGCACTGTTCTAAGCACTTTACAGATATTAACTCAATCTTTGTAATAGCTGTTGGACTCAGAAGGTTAATCTACAAAATAAAAAATTTAATGATTCACTCTGCAGCAAAATCAAAGTCATTTGTCAAGTGTCTCTTTTCCGTATAGTCTCTATCCTACAAGAGCTAATAAAGAACTATCCAAGTCATTGTATAAAATAAATAAGCTTACATTCCTGATAACAGAAAACCTCTTGATGTAGAACTTAATATGAATGCAGTTTCCAAGGTTTAATCACTGTGTATTTAATGTATTAACAAAAATAACAAAAAATAATTGGACAGCAGTTTCTTGGAGTTTATTGAAATAGAATCAGACCCTTATTTTCATTATCTATAAGTAAATGGATTAGGAGGAACAAAGAATGATGATGTCAAAACACATATCAGTTACAGTGTTGTTTATACATCAGCCATATCTGATATAATGTGAATTCATTTGGTGTTGAATAAATGGGCCCCTGCAAACTAAATATTTATAAGTCTGTCAGCCATACTTAGGAAGAGGCTAGTTCATAGTACTAATGATTTTGATCAGAAGTACATGTTTGGGGACTTCCCTGGTGACGCAGTGGTTAAGAATCCGCCTGCCAATGCAGGGGACACAGGTTTGAGCCCCGGTCTGGGAAGATCCCACATGCCACGGAGCAACTAAGCCCATGTGCCACAAGTACTGAGCCTGCTCTCTAGAGCCTGTGAGCCACAACTGTTGAGCCCACGTGCCACAACTACTGCAGCCCACACGCTTAGAGCCTGTGCTTCGCAACAAGAAGCCACCGCAATGAGAAGCCCGCACACCGCAACGAAGAGTAGCTCCCACTCACTGCAACTGGAGAGAGCCCACATGCAGCAACGAAGACCCAACGCAGCCAAAAATAAATTAATTAATTAAAAAAAAAAAGAAGTAAATGTTTGAAGGTATAACTTGGGGTCTTTACTGCTCTTGGCTGTGTTTTAAACTTAATTTTTGAAAAATGATAGGTGACTGAATATTGAAAAAGATTTTATTTTCTCACATATTTAAGAAATTAAATCTATTATCAAAAGTTATTCCTCTTCTTTTGCATTTAACCTTTTATCTATAAAAGTTGTGAAATTTTATTCATTTACCTCTGTATATAGAAGCTTCTTTCTAATCTGAATTTATTGTGGTTTCTCATAGGTCCAGAGAGGATTAGTGATCTACCTGTGCTTTTTCAAGGGAGCTGATAAAGAGCTTCTTCCCAAAATGGGTATGTGTTTGATGTTTCTTTTTTAAGAGTGAGAGTGACTAGCAATAGATAGATGAATCAGAAGGGAAAAAAGCACAATCTTAAATTGTACTGTTATGTAAGTTATAAATGACTTAACTCTGTGTACTGTTGTTGACTTTAGCTGTTTGCCTTTTCCAAAGCTTAATGTAAGCAAGTGTGGTAGAATTCTTTTAAAATATCTGCAGCATTTCAGATCATTTATAGATTGGTTTAGAAGAGTGTACACACACACAGACACACAGACAACACACTGAGATTCAGCCAAGGATACAGAAACTTGTTGGAAGCAGGGTGGCCACATAGGGAGAAATAGATGCTGCATTTCTTAATATAGTCTCCTTATCTCTCAGAGTCCCTAACAGGGGCATAGAGGTGACACTGTATGTACAACATGTGGTTCCCATCAAATATGTGAAGATCAGGCTTATATCATTATTATAAAAGAGTTTACATTAACCATTTATGCACTTTGTAGGAAATGTGTGTAAAGATGATTATTAAACCAAGCTCAGTGTCATCACAGCCACACCTCCTCTGCGGGCAGAGAAAGAGTCAGTGTTCAGGCATCTCTGAACAATAATGTACCTGCCTGCAGCTTTCCAGTGTCCTCGATATTCTATATCACTGCACATTCCTTGTGATAATTACATAGGTTCAGATATACCAAATCAAATTATATACTATCTCAAGACAGTATTTGATAGAATAATTATGTACAAAAAAAGAAGCCTGAAATAGTCAAGCTGTCCCTAAGGTTGGGGACAGGTTATATTCTCTCCATTAGTAAAGGCAGTACCCATTAGTTGGATTAATAAATATAAATTATATAGATGGGTAGTTGAAGCAGGCGGAAGTTAACCTAGAAGAGCTTTAAGTAGTGGAACTCAAGCGTAAATAGCCCAGTGAGGAACAGCTTGGACAAAGGGCTAAAGCTTCTAGAGGGAATTTTATGCTGAGACATCAAACATGTTTAACAACTTTGTCAGAGGATGAAAACTAGACTTGAGAAGGGACTGCAGTAGGTGAGGATGGAAAGCAAGTAACTGTAATAATTTGACCTACTAGAGAATGGACTTGAGGACATGGGGAGGGGTAAGGGTAAGCTGTGACAAAGCGAGAGAGAGGCATGGACATATATACACTACCAAACGTAAAATAGATAGCTAGTGGGAAGCAGCCGCATAGCACAGGGAGATCAGCTTGGTGCTTTGTGACCACCTAGAGGGGTGGGATAGGGAGGGTGGGAGGGAGGGAGACACAAGAGGGAAGAGATATGGGAACATATGTATATGTATAACTGATTCACTTTGTTATAAAGCAGAAACTAATACATGATTGTAAAGCAATTATACTCCAATAAAGATGTTAAAAAAAAATGAAATTTGAACCTGAAGGATAATAGGGAGCTTTAAAGGGTTGAAAGAGAAAATGAAATGAGGTCTCCTGTTGTTACAGAGGGTTATTGCCAGGACTTAATGCTTGGATATTGGACATTCGGTCTGTTTTTGCCTTGAATTAAAGCTTTCTTGACCATGAAAGATATATAGTAGAAATCTTCAAAAACAGGAAGAGCATTTTTGGCCAAATTGTGGCCAAATAAAAACACTGAGGAAGTCCACTTTAACTCTTCTAGTGGATACTCTAACACAAAGCTTTTATATATCATGATTCTCAGTAAAGAGCTGTGACTCTAAGAATCACATTCTACTGGTGTGAGTTGTAAGCAAAGTAAGTCCATCTATTATTGATAGTAGTAGCTTGTACTTCCCTCTGTTCCAGGAGGCAAAGTAAGCCAGTGTGATGGGATTCTCTTAAACCTGACCTCATACTTATTACATGGATTCAGATCTTTCCAATCAAATCATGTAGCCCTTGGGAACATAACAGCCAGTTATATCCATAAAGTCTGAAATAGCATGGCTAATATATAGATGTGCAGAATCTTCCTCCATTCATCTTCAGTATAATTGGACAGAGATCCAGGGCCCTGTCCAAACTTAACTTCCCATATACATCATTAGAGATATTTGATCGACAACCTGTCTTAGAATCTTTGAGTTTCCAAGATGCCATTAATTCATTGTCTCATTTTAATTCTACTTACTGACATTTGTATTTGTATTATATTTACTTCTACATACTGATATTTGTATACCAACAGCATTAATTGAATTCTCAGTTAGATCCAGTAGAGGGAAGTGTGTGGAAGTATAATAAATTATACTTACCTCTCTGGCCTGTTATTTCAAAACTGCCTCCTTAGTCTGTCACTAGCCTAAGGCCTGGATAGCTGGATAGTGATTTACGTGGAATGAAATGCTCCAGAGAATTATAGTTTTCTTAGAAGCAATCAATAGGACCGCAGGCTATATAGCAAAGTCCTATTTGTAATAGAGAAAATTAGACTTATTTATTTATTTTTGGTTGTGTTGGGTCTTCATTGCTACGCACGGGCTTTCTCTAATTGTGGCGAGCGGAGGCTACTCTTCGTTGCGATGCGCAGGCTTCTCGCTGCAGTGGCTTCTCTTGTTGCAGATGTTCTAGGCGTGTGGGCTTCAGTAGTTGCAACACGTGGGCTCAGTAGTTGTGATTCGCGGGCTCTAGAGCAGAGGCTCAGTAGTTGTGGCGCTCAGGCTTAGTTGCTCTGTGGCATGTGGGATCTTCCCAGACCAGGGATCGAACCCATGTCCCTTGCATTGGCAGGCGGATTCTTAAGCGCTGCGCCACCAGGGAAGTCCCTAGAGGTATTTTAAAATAGGCATTAGTTAAATGAAAACTGATAGTGCTTAATGCAGAGCTTAGGAATTCATTTGGGTGTTCACCTTAGCAGGTTTTCACCAGGTTAATTCCTTGATTTGTAGAGTGGGGCCACTGTACTGAATCCTTGCTAATATTTACTACAGGCTCTCTAGTAGTTGAAACCATTGACTACCCCACCAGAAAGCATACCTTTTCAAGCCTGATTCACACAGGAGTGTGAGGTTTCAATAGTTCTTTTACTGTTTGTGTCCTCTCAGGACTATTCTTTACAAGCAGAAGTTATTTATACCCTTTATAGAGGTAGGAAGACCCTAAGGGTGTTTATATTAGGCATTTCTTTTGCTTATTGTTTTGAAAATGGCTAATGTTGAAATGTAAAGATTTTCTAAGTTTAGATTTTTTAGCTACACATGGATATTTATGGTTATTTTGACACTTCTTATTAGCTATGAGTATACTTGCATAAGTGCCATAAAAATAATAATACAATATTTTCCTGTATGTATATGAAGATAATGCCAGTAACTCTATACCTTTGGATTTACTTTCCCAGTTGACAGTGAATTTCTGATGATTTTTGCTTTCACCTTTATCCTCCCACTGGTGATGTTTGTAAAATAATTAGTCTCTGTTAATAATGTCTTCGAGGTTATAAAACTGCAAAATCAACTAGTTTATAACAGGATTGAACCTGGAACCTTTGTCTCAGCTTAGAATTCTAGGCAACTAAGTTTAAAATAATAAATGCACTAAGGTTTTTATTTAATGTTCTTTGTTATAAAGTAGAATAAGTGTGTGGAGGATCTGTCATGTTTTTTTTTCCAGTGGGATTTGTTTTGAAATATAAAAAGGAACAAAAAGGCAAAATCTTTTCATGTATCCCCCAGGGCAACAATATCTTGAAGTTCCAGTATACAGTTAATTCTTTAGTCCTTTCTGGATTATCTTATTGTTAGGAGATCCTAACTGCCAAGTCAGATTTAAAACATCATGACATTTTCTGCATGAAATTTTCCTTGTTTTTCATGCTTAGATCATTTAGCTTACTGAAGCAGCTTTTAAAATCTAAATAGAAACTTTGGGTTAAAAGCATGAGCTGACAAACTGGATTTTAAACATGAGGTTTGCTGACTAGAAGATCGTTGGTTTTCTTCATGTTTGTTTTCTACCTCAAAATGTTCTCCTTTCTTCCCTACCCAGTTAATACACTGTTAAATGTGAAATTAAGTGAAACAGAAAATGGCAAGCGTGTCTCTGTATTGGATCTACCTGGCAACATTCTTATCATCCCTCAAGCCACCCTTGGGGGGAGAGTAAAAGGAAGAAGCATGCAGTATCACTCTAACTCTGGAAAAGAAGAGGGGTTAGAACTTTATTCCCAATTTGTGACTCTCTGTAAAAAAGAATTAGCTGCTAACAGCAAGTGTGCTGAAGCTGGGGTTGTGGTGGAACATGGCACTTACGGCAACAGGCAGGTGTTAAAGCTCGATACCAATGGACCATACACACACCTAATTGAGTTTTGAAAAATTAAAAGTTTCTACAGTTGTAATTAGATTCTCTTCCCCTTCTGCTTGAGTACACTAATCTGCAGCATTTTTAGACAAGAAAATCCTGGGTCCCATCCATACCTCTGCAGCCTGCTACTTGGACGACCTCGCCACGTCACCTAAACTCTGGATCTCAGTCACCTTCCATCCTGCTTTCCCCTAAACTCACACTCAAAATTTTGAAAAATGCCTTGTATTCGCCTTATGGTCATTGATAAGAACATGGAAATGTTTTTAGAGAGCTGTATTTAAGCATTTTGTGCAATCAAGAAAAATATGTTTCTTATACCCTCAAATGTATGTAATATGTAGTAAAAATCACTATTTGTGTTACGATTATAATTTTGTCAATTTTGTTTTAGTATTTCAGATTTCCGTATTTTGAATGAAAGAATATGCAATTTACTAGTCCTTCTAATAATATCTATGAAAATATAATACAGAAATGTTATTGTACATTTTAATATTATTTTCCAAGGACATCCAAGTGCTTTAAATTATTTTAAGAATCTTTAGTTGATATAGCAATAAGGTATGGGGGACTAAAAGGTTTTTTTATTTAATATACTAATGGCTTAATATTCTGTTTCTCATTTTTTTACCAAAACAATGTGTGTTGCATTTTCTGTTTTTGGTTTTTAAAAGTTACTGTTTCATTAAATTAATGTTCATAAATTTTTTTAGGAAGTTCCTTTCTTGTTGGTTTAGATTGCTGTAAAAGGAATAAAAGGAATAAAAAGGGAGGCTTTCTACTGGAATGATTTGAAAACAAGTTGACTTGTTCATTTCCATTTTATCGACTTAATGATTTAGAGCCAGTATCATTTTTTTCTATTAGTGTATTTTTGTGTCCTCCCCCCACCCCAAAATTCATATGTTGAAGTCCTCCAATGTGATGGTATTTGCACATGGGGCCTTTGGAAGGTAATCAGGGTTGATAGAGCATGAGAGTGGGGCCCTTATGTTGGGATTAGTGTCCTCATAAGAAGAAACACCAGAGAGCTTGCTCACCCTTTCTCTGCCCACCATGTGAGAATGCAGTGAGAAGGGAGCCATTTACAAGCCAGGAAGAGAACCCTTACCAGAAACCATGCTGGCACCCTGATCTTGAACTTCTAGCCTCCAGAGCTGTAAGAAAATAAATTTCTGTTGTTTAAGCCACCATAAGTCTATGGTATTTTGTTCTAACAGCCCAAGCTAAGACAGTCACATAAGATAAACATCTAATAAGGTAGACTTTTCAAAGCCAAGAGAGGAAGATATACAAGAAATTGAAAGCATAAATGAATCAATAAAAGGTAATGTTCATTTTTTACAAACTCATTTGACTTGATTTAATATTTTAAAGAGTGAAAATGAAATAGTGTTTCTAGTTATCAAAAAGATGAAAACAATGACTTGAAGAAACATCTTAAGTAGCTGTTGAAAATTCTTTGTGTCTTATAATTTCTTTAGGTTTATGTTCCTAAGATACTTAAAGTTTCTGTTATCACAAAAAGTCCTATTTTCTCTATATCCTTCCTGTACTATTCTATTTTGGAACTTAAGGATCAATAACTGACTTGGTAGTGAGCTCATTTGTCCTTAACTTTTGCTTTATTGATTCGCAATACACTTATTGAAATGTAATAAACTATTCATAAACTTTCAAACTCCAATTTTCTCAGAGCTTCTCCAAGGAGGTTTATATGTCTTTCAAAAAGATTATGTGTTACCTATTTTAAATCATTTTGATGTGTGTGGGTGAAATGCTGACCCACAGCCCTAGATTGCTATTTTATAGTTCAGGCAATTCTCCTTAAGAAGAAATTTGCTTGTGGTACTTGTGGAGAATAGAAATTTCAACTACATGAAGAGTTATTAAACAGAAGATGACAGCCAAGTTTGTTTCATTTCCAAGGAGGCTAGAACAAGAGGAAAAAGGCAAGAGAAATAGTAGATAGGAAAATAACTACACCTTGGCTTTCTGTAGCTCTCCTGGCCCAAGATGCTCAAAGAACATTCAACAGATACCTAATTTTATCTTCACAGTATATAATGACAATAATGCTGTGGAAAGTAAGAAAATGCTTAAATAATTTTCCCAAGATCACACATTAGGGAGCAATAATTTCTATCCCCCTGACTTTTCTTGTAGTGAGAGTTAAAATTGATCTTCATAAAGGCTTAGCATCTCCCAGTGTGGATCACTTGAGAAAAAACAGCCAATAAATTGTTTTATGTACTAAATTACGTGGCGGTAGGGTTACACCTAATTTGGGTGCCGTCTGCCTTTGTTTTTCAAAGATTCTAGAATGTTTAAATTAGAGTATCATTTCTTTCTTTTAATGGAAGTATAGTTGATTTACAATGTTGTGTTAGTTTCAGGTGTACAGCAAAGTGATTCAGCATATATATATACTTTTTCAGATTCTTTTCCCTTTATAGGTTATTACAAAATATTGAGTATAGTTTCCTGTGCTATACAGTAGGACCTTGTTGTTTGTGTATTTTATATAGTAGTGTGTATCTATTAATCTCAAATTCCTAATTTATCCCTCCCTCCCCTTTCCCCTTTGGTAACCATAAATTTGTTTTCTATGTGAGTCTGTTTCTGTTTTGTAAATAAGTTCATTTGTATCATTGTTTTAGATAACATAAGTGATATATTTGTCTTTCTCCATCTGAATTACTGCACTTAGAATATCATTCCTAAATACTATTTTATCTGTCCATTTGGCAAACTTCATGGATTCAATTATATAAAATACTGTGTATAAGACATGGACTACCAATGAGTATGAATTTATCTTGAATATACTCATACTAGGTAAATCAAACACTTTTACATTTCTTCATTCAAGTCAAAAGAAGGCATTGAAATTTATGAATAATATCTGTATTAATGATTTATTGACTCCATAATGAAAGACCTAAGCTTATCAGATATAAGGATCAAATACTATAGAATCCTATGCCACTTGTTTTGGAGGATAACTCACATTGGTGTTAGAATGATGACATGTCAAACTTTTATTATCTATGATTAACATTGCAGAGGACCTGATTTGTTACATTATAGTTATTAATTAAAAACTCACATGCTAGTGAAACTAGTATTTCCAAAAGTGCTTTATCTATTAATTTATTGAAGTAAGACTACTTTATGAAAGGGAAGAACTATTAGAAAACTAACGTTTTCATTCTGAAGCCACACTTTGATGATGACTTTAAATGTCTGTTTATTTTGATAATCTAATTATTCTCCCTTCCTCCTATTTCTCCTACATCTAATCCTTTTCTGCAGACCATCTCCAAGGTAATGTTTCTAGAAAATTCCTTTCTATATGATATTCCACTGTTTAGAAACTTTTATAACTATTTTTTATCTACAGGACAAAGTCTAAACTTCTGAGGTTGGCATGAAGGTTCTCCTTACTCGTTAGGAGTGAATGAAATGAAGGGAGAAATGTAGAGGACCAAAGTCAGAATCCTGAGAAAACATAAAGAAAAGGCAACATATGAGAGGCCACAGGATAGTATAGAGATCAAAGAGGCAGAGAGAACCAGAAAATGTATTGTTAACAAGATAGTTTTCAAGGTTTAAACAGTCAGTGCCAAATACTGAAGAAAAATGGGACAACACAAAGACTGAGGAGAGACCTCTGGGCCTAGCAGTTAGGTGTTTTCAAACTTATGGAAAATTGGCATAAAATTTGCAAGAGTTACTACAATTAGGAAAAGATTCTTAATCTTTTGTCTTCAGGTAGAGTGTCTCAAAGTATGCCACTGGAGCACCTGTACAGGAATCACCTGGGGAGACTAATTTTTTACGAAATGCAATTTTCTGGGACCATCCCAAATCTATTGAATTAGAATCTCAGGAGTTAAAATCTATCTAGTCACCTATCTCCCCCAGGTGATTCTTGTATATACTGGAATCTCAGAACCACTGTTATTCGAATGAAGCCCAGACTTCTAAAGCTGATATTACAGTTTCATAATCTGGCTCCAGCTTGACTTTCTAACCTTTTCTCCCTCTACTCCCCAGTAGAAATTCTCCAGGATAGCTCTTTTTATACCCTTCCTAGATCACGCTCACTCTTCCTAGATCACGCTCACTCTTTTTCAGAAGACAAGCAGAGTTGTCTTCTGCTCTCCTCTAAATCCATCATTCAATATCTAGCTCAAGTCAATCTCTTCTGACCCCACAGTAATTTCTCCTGCCTCTACCTGCCTGGGCATTATGGTTGTCCCACTCTTGACACTTGGAATGTGTCTTATGAGATTGAGTACTTCACCTTTTTTTTTTTATGCTTATATGTCCTAACTACAAGAATATAAACAATATTGGGCAGAGACAATATGACAATGAGCACACATAGTATAATATTTTTCTTTAAATCTCCACAGTACTTCCATAGCACCGTGTTGTCCATGCTCAATAATTCCTAGTAAATGTTACCTGAATTAACATGGAGATTCATCAGTGGCTAGAATACTCTTGATTTTGGTTCGGTTTTACCAGTATTTCACACATAGATTTCTTTGTCATTAAGAAATAAAGAGGTTGGAATGTGCAGGAAGCAAGTTTAATACCACTACCCCTTTCTTTAATACAATAGATAACACCAGAAAAGTTAAAAGACAAACTAAAACAGGTTTTTGAGATTCAACATAAATGTGGGCATTGCTATTTCTACTTTGTTAGTTTATTACATCAGTGTGTTAAAGAGAAAAGCCACAAGCCCAAAATGGTGTCACTTGTGCTAAAGCCCATGATACCAAACCTAGATTTAAGATCTAACCTAATTGCAGTTTTAACCTTCACCAGAAATGTAGTGTTGTTTTTTTTTTACTGAAGTATGGTTGACTTACAATGTTGTGAAATTGTAGCACAATTGTAGCTGTTAATTTCTGCTGTACAGCAAAGTGATTCAGTTAATATATATATTTTTCCATTATGGTTTATCATAGGATATTGAGTATAATTCTCTGTGCTATACAGTAGGACCTTGTTGTTTATCCATTCTGTATATAATAGCTTACATCTGCTAATCCCGACCTCCTACTCCATCCCTCCCCCAACCCCCTCCCCCTTGGCAACTACAAGACTGTTCTCTATGTCCATGAGTCTGTTCTTGTTTCATAGATAGGTTCATTTGTGTCATATTTTAGATTCCACATATAAGTGATATCATATGGTATTTGTCTTTCTCTTTCTGACTTACTTCACTTAGTATAATAATCTCTAGTTGCATCCATGTTGCTATAAATGGTATTATTTCATTCTTCATTATGGCTGAGTAGTATTCCATTGTATAAATGTACCACATCTTCTTTATCCATTCATCTGTCAATGGACATTTAGGTTTTTTCCATGTCTTGGCGATTGTGAATAGTGCTGCTATGAACATAGGGGTGCATGTATCTTTTTGGATTAGAGTTTTGTCTGGATATATGCCCAGGAGTGGAATTGCTGAATCATATGGTAATTCTATTTTTAGTTTTCTGAGTAACCTCCATACTGTTTTCCATAGTGGCTGTACCAACTTACATTCCTACCAACAGTGTAGGAGGGTTCCCTCAGAAATGTAGTCTTAACCAGTCTGGAATTTTTTGGTCAGCACCAATTCGGTAATCTGCCACGTGGGCCCTCTCCAGCCTCCAGAAGAAGAAACCATCTATATAATAAAACCCTTGCCTTTCCCTTCACCCTTTCCCCCTACAAAGATGTTCTGGCCTAAAAATAGTCCTTTCTTTTCTTTTCCTAATAGCT